AAATTTATGAGCATTTTAGTTTTTTTTTTCAAATATTTGTTTTGTATTTTTATAGGTGTGAAGCTATGTACACCCCAAATTTCAGCTTATATATGCATATAGAGAAAATAAAAGGCAAGTACTTAGATCTGCTCTCAATCATCCGATCAAGATCGTACATCATGATAGCCTTTTGATCTTTTAAAAACTTTAAACATTTTATTTCATAATTTTCGATGTTCATTTTTATTTCACATGTTTTTTAACTATGATATTTGACCTATAGCACATAAAAATAGTGATGGATATTTCAATTTCTAAACATTCTATAAGTTGGTCTAATGAGGGTGGGGAGCTTAAACTTCTCTTAACCCGTCCTAAACCTAGGTAAGGATAAGTAGGCAAACAACGTAAAACTTTGTCACATTTTTTATCATTGATCATAAACTTGTGTTATATGGTCTTATTGAGGGTAGAGAAGTATAGAGAAACATGATTCCTATAGTCAATCCTAAATAATTGAGATAAAGCTTGGAAGATGATCATGATGATAAACATTTTGTAGGTGGGTTCACAACATAAAGGGAAAACCCTATAAAAAATCTACACATCAATTCCATTTGAGATAGATGCACAGCCCCATGACTACTTCACATTGTTGCTGCCAACTGCAAATAGAGACTTACTAGACATGTGTGGCACATCACACATATCTACCGTGAGGCCAATATGGTGGCAGACACTCTCGCTAAAAAAGCCACTGTTTTTTCTGATGCTTCCAATTGGTGCACTAGAACCGCCTGATTGTATTTCCCTCTCCTTACTTCATGATGTTGAGCAAATGCCCAATTGTATGGTTGTAAGTTTATGAGTTGTAATCTTTTTCTATTATCATTTAATGAAAACTGAGTAGGGGGCCATCTACCCCACTGACTTACCCAAAAAAAAAAAAGCCCTATCAAAATAGGTAGAGCATCACCTCAAAACTCACCGATAATTGCAATATGGTACTAGAAAACCTTCAAAATGAACATCTCGACCTTGACCATTACGGTTGTGGGACAAAAAAACGATTTTAAGTCCTAAAATAATGTATATTGTAACAAATTATCTAGATTGTCCATTTTGCCCTAAAAATAAGTGTTCATTGTTAAGATATGGATGTACATCATTACGAATACATATCAGTATATCTCTTGATATGATTAGGATATGTATTATATTGATATATATCAGTATGGATATGCATCTGTATGGAAACATATCTTTTGATAAGATTAGGTGGTATCTATCCATAACCATTGGTATTTATCTTTAACTATTATTGGTCATATATTTATACGGAGTCTTGTATATTCTTGATTAATCAATCAATCTCTACAGTATTATGAAATAATCTTTCATGGAGGCCTAAGGCCCAAATATATAGAAATACAGTTTCTAACATGGTATCAGAGCATCAGAGCAAAGTCACGATTTGTTTCCAGCTCCTGTTTCTGATTTACTGGTTTTGGTTTACGCTCATGTTTTTTGTTTTCTGTTTTTTGGTGTGTGGGTCTCTTAAATTTTTAGTCTCTCTCCAGCATTCTCTGGGTTCTTTTTGGGGGAGATTTGCAGTAAATTTTGGATCTTGAGGATTGACGTTTGGCTTTGTTTTGGCAGAGAAAACTGTTAATCTCACTTTCTCTCTCTAGAAAAGTTTAATGGCCACTCATTTCTTTGTGCTCCTGCCTCTCTCTCTCTAACGCGCTTAGTTACTCGCTCTCGGATGTTCTTGGAGCCGTCTGTTTCTGAGGTCTACCATTTTTATGTACTGTTTGTCAAGTAATCTGAGCAATCCGAATATTACTACTCGTTTTTGGCAACTTAATATTGTTCAAACTCCAGCTGCTTTGTGTGAGCATCTTGAGTTTGAGTGGGAGTGTTGGGATATGGATATACATCGTTACGGATACATATCAGTATATCTCTTGATAATATTAGAATATGTATCGTACTGATACATATTAGTATGGATATGTATCTGTATGGATACATATTTCTTGATAAGATTAGGTGGTGTCTATCTATAACCATTGGTATTTATCTTTAATTGTTATTGGTCATATATTTATACGGAGTCTTGTATATTCTTCATTAATTAATCAATCTCTACATTCTTATGAAATAATCTTCTAAGGGGGCCTACATCATTACGGATACATATCAGTATATCTCTTGATAAGATTAGGATATGCATTATATGGATACATATCAGTTTCGATATGCATCTGTATGGATACATATCTCTTGATATGATAGGTGGTGTCTATCCATAACCATTGGTATTTATCTTTAACTATTACTAGCCATATATTTATACAGAGTCTTATATATTTTTTATTAATCAATCAAGCTCTGCAATATTATGAAATAATCTTTCATGGGGGTCTAAGGACCAAATATATAGAAATATAGTTGCTCATTCATAGATCTGTAAGGCATATACTATTTTTTCAACTTCAAATTTTAGTCAGTGTTGAAACTGATTTTAGAGCCATCATGAAGATTCTCGAAGCCTAAAGTGCTTTCCAAACGAGGACTCGAGCTAATACAGATTATGGTGTAGTTGTCTTTTAATTAATTTTTTTATATATACAAGTTACGGGGTTTTATTGTTTCAATTGCTTGTGAGGACTTCAAGCATTCAGTCGGCATTTGTCAGTTGCAGACAACATTGAGAAATTACTTTATCATCTTTCCTTTTAACTTTAGAATGATATAAAGGGAAATTATTGCCCCTAGTAATAGGATCTTGATATCCATTTATATTAAGTAGTTAAGAATTGTTTGTATTTTTTATTTTTCTCAAAATACTTCCTAATGCAAATAAAATTTGGGGTTTATTTTTTTATTTTAGATATTTTAAATTTTAGGAATAGGAAGTGTGCTGGGATAAATAGGGTCGTGCCTGAGTTGCTTAGTGGATAGGGTAGTGTGTGAGTTGTTTAGGGGATATGGTTGGTTTTAATATTAGGAAAAGGATTGAGTTGGTTTTAAAGAGGTAAATGTTAATTAGGTTTACTTTAGTTAGTATTAGAGCAAGTAAGATCCAACTATTGAAATGCTACCGAAATCTAATCCTACTATGGATGATCGGCTGGGACAAGTTTTAGAAAATTTGACTAAAGTCATGAAGATGTTCGAACCGAATATCATGAAATGAATGAGCGGTTACAACAGTTATAGGGCTCCATCTATCAAGAAGAGGGTGTTTGTAACCACGTGGATTTGATATCAAATCTCATTGTAAAGACGAATCGAGTGCCCCGACCGACTCGGGCTGTTGATCCAAAATATCAAAATCAAATTTGCAGACCAAATCCACATAGAGCAGACAAAAGTTTCGGTATTCAAGTTAATCTCCCAGAATTTCATGGTCCAGAGTGTCCATCGATTGCATATGGTGCTTCTTTGGAGCTGATCCCGTTCTTGGCTAGCAATAGTCAGTCTAAGCTCGTAATCAATTATTACACTTGGAACAAAGTGGAGAAGATGATGAAGGAAAATTTTCGAGTTCTATAAGCTCGAGGTCGAGTTTCTCCCAACCTCGGGAGAATGATGCATATAAAAATTAGGATTTAGTTTTGTATTTTATATATTTTTAAAATTTTAAGAATAGAAAGTTGGATAAATAGGGTAATGCATGAGTTGTTTAGTGGATAAGGTAGTGCGTGAGTTGTTTTGGGGATATGGTTGGTTTTAATATTAGGTAAAGGATTAAGTTGGTTTTAAAGAGATAAATGTTAATAGGTTAGTTAAGATAAAACTTACTTGACATTGGTTTGATAAGGTAGACATGAATTTGATAAGGGGGGCGTGAATTTTGATTAGGGAGACATGAGTTTTAAGGAGAGAGATAAATGTGTTTTTATTTATTTTATTTATCTTCCAAGTGTATTTAAAGGGAATAGATCACTCTTTGTAAACAGAGATATTTATTTTATTTATCTTCTAAGTGTATTTAAAAGGAAGAGGTCCCTCTTTGTAACCAAAGATTGGAAATAAAATATCTGTCTTGGATGGATTCTCTTGCAATCTTTGAGAGATGGTATATTCTCTCAAATTTTTTTTATATATATTTTTATTTTTCCCTGCATCACTTCCAATTTAGAACTTGGAGTTCTGAACCGATTTCATTATTATGTTACCTATGTTTTGGGTTCAAAACTATAAGTTCTGGTTGGTTTTATCTAAACAAAATATAGTTAAAATAGGCTAGTAACTTGGAGAACTGAACCTAACTTTGGCAATAAATGTTCTTCGATACTCTAAGTTCCAAAGTCCAAAGCCATTTTGTTTCTGTTTTAAGTTAATGGTTGGTTTGGAACTTGGAGTTTCGAATAACATTGCTGGTTAAATTTTTTGTGCTTAGATTATAGTCAAAAGTATTGTGAGGAACTCCAAGTTCTGAGCCTAAAGCTATGGCTGCAATGGGCTGAGTGCCTAGCCTGACCCACTTAGCACACTCTTAAAAAGTAAGGCTTGGGCTACAAAATATGACCCGAGGGCTGGACTAGGGCCAGATAGCCATGGCTTAAGGGTAGGCATGGGCGAGGCTGGGGCATGAGCTTGGGTCAAGGCGGTTCTTTAATTTTTTTCCTTTTTTATTTTTTGCCCACTTGGGGCACCCTGATAGGGCTATGATCGGGCCTGAGCAAAGGCATCTTAGTCTGATAAAGGCTGAGACAAGCCCGGGGTAGGCCGATGGGGACTTGGACCAAGCTAGGGGCCAAGGCTGGCCCGCCCTATTGCCAGCCCTCCCTAGGACAAAGGATAAGAAAGAAGCTGGTTCTGAGAGTATTTTGGAAAATATATATATGAAAAATATATTTATAAAAATAAAAAAATTAAATGATAGGATTATGTTAGGGTACTCACACTATAAAGCATTTTATAATGTGAAAGTATAGAATGTGATCATTTGCTTTTGATACAAGGTGGCCACATTAATCTTGACCATTTGATGTGAAATTGGGTGGCTGCAATTATTCTATTGACCATGTTCAAACTTCAAAAGAAATTTTCTCAAACTTTGTGGCACATCCAAGTTATCAAAGTTCACATCAAATGGTTGTAAGGAATTGTGACCCCCTTGTATCAAAGATAAATGGTCTCATTGTATACAATCACTTTTATAATTGTATTCAATAAATTTTAGATTTTATGTACTTTCGCTTTGTAATACAATATTTTTTTGTAAAAGTATTTTTTGTCATTAGGAGGGGTTACATCATCCACATGTGAAATGACATTACTTACACGATTACTAAATATCGCTAGTGTACTCACTTATGTGTATGATGTCACACACCTCCTAATAACATAAAAACTATGTGGATGATGTCACACACCTCCTAATAACATAAAAACTATGTGAATGATGCCACACACCTCCTAATAACATAAAAACTAGCGTTACTTACACTTATGTATATGATGTCACACTTCTTCTAATGACAAAAAATAGTGTTACTTAAAAATACTTTATGTACAAAACAAGGTCCAAAATTTATTTAGTACAATTATAAAATGCTATATAGTGTAAGCACCCTAACATAACCCTTTTCTAAATATTTTAAAATGGAAAAAGAGTATATAAGGTTGCAACCTTCAAATGTAGAATTAAAGGTGCACCTCAAAAGTCCATCATAAAAGGTTGTTTGGATGTTGGAAAACCCTCTAATTGATCAGCTCGACCTCAAGATCTATGAATATGAAAGGAAAAAAAGATTTCAAGTCCACGAAATATCGTCTCTTGCAATACATTATCTAGACCGTCTATTTTCGAGATTTTCATGTGTTTATAGATCTACTTGATTTGAACTATTTTTAAATTTAAAATTTTATAATTAAAAATAAAAATAGATTCTCAAGCCATCCTAATAATTTTTTATATCAAAATTATATTTATAATAAAATTTAGAGGTGCGCGTTAATTTGATTGTTTAAAATTGCAACCTTACGCAAACCACACCCTTTAAGAAGTATTTAAGTTAATCTTCCTTTTCCCTTTCATGCGCCACAAGAGATTCGAGAAAACTTCCGCAAGAGCCCCAAAAATTGCCCCTATCAATACCCTATCTAAACCTCCCATTGCAATTGCAATCATTTTTAATGTTGGGTGGCAATGGATCCGGATCCGATCCGGTCCATACCCGCCGGATGTAACCGACACGAGTCTTGGTATGGGTCTAAGTTTTGGAACCGCAGGTAGGGTCTGGGTTCAATAAAAAATTACCCAAATAGTCTTGGATCCAGGTATGGGCCTTGTTATATCCAACTCGACAGGAACTCCGACCAAATTTTTAGTTTACTCAAAGGTCAAAGTCTTAAATCGTTTCTATACTTTTTCGACTTTTTTTAGTTCTCCAAATGGTTAAACCCGATCGTCATTCTCCCTCTTTGCAATTCTCCCTCTCTCAATTTTTTAGTTCTCTAAATGGCTAAACCTCATCGCTATCCTCTTTCTCCGCAATTCTCCCTCTCAATTTCTTAGATGCATAACTCTCTCCTTGGATCTCGAATGTCGCTCTCTCTACACTAACCCCTCAAAAATTTGTTCTTTGTTTTTCACCATAATGAGGATATGAAAATGGACTCGACTAGACTTGGGATCTTACGGGATAGGCCCGGGACCCAACCGGTACGGATATGAGTCCAACTTTTGGACCAACTACATTATTCGGGTCTGACGGTCCCGATCCACGCCGGACCCGTTAACACACCTTTGCCCTTTTACATCCGTGGCCTTCTCTCTTCTAAACCATACTCTCTCTCTCTCTCTCTCCGAACCCACGAACACTGCCGCCTTAAAACCCACCTCGCTCTGTTATTTCGAGTGTTTGTTTATTCTCTCGCTTCTTCGCAGTTAATGGAGGAGGGAGAGTGCATTCTGGATACCTTATTCGAAGAAGAAGGCGATGACGTCCATGATGTCGACATGGTTGATGCGGAAGACCAGAGGCATCTTCAAGAGAAAGATTCTCATGGCGATTACGGTGATGATGTTCATGGTGGTAGCGTCCCTTCAAAACAAGTGCCGGCGAAGAATACTGGTGAGTTGAAAGTAAGGAAGAAGAGGAAGAAGAATAAGAAGAAGAGGAGTAACAGTGGAATTGCAGATATCAACAGGTCAATTCCGTCGAACTCTCTCTCTCTCATTTTGATGCTATTTAGAATTATCTTCGTTCCACTATTTCTATGTTTGTATGTGTTTGTTTGTTTGTGTGGTGATCTCTCTCTATTTTTGTGTACCTTAGGTTGTCTAAAGCTGGTTGTATACTTTCTAGTTTGAATGAAATGTTTTTTCAATTCCTCTCTGTTTCTCTCTCTCTCTTATATTTTGAGGTTTGGACCTACATGTTTGTGAGTCTGTTGCTTTAATTGTGTGTTTTTGGTGCTCGTGTTCATGTGTGCTTGTATCTATTTGCTTGTGATTGCATATGTTGCAATGCTGCTGATGAATACCATTTCATTAAATGGATCGGACTGTGATGACTGATTTATTCAATTGGTTATTGTTCTTCTGGGGTTTTGTGAGAACAATTAGGAATCAGATTAGGTTATGATTCTATTTGACTGGAGCTTATTATTTTTCCCCATCAAGCTGTCTTGTTGTTGGAATTATAAAACAATAGTGTTACCTGTGAAAGATGGTATTTTGGGGTGTTTGAAAAACATGGTGATGGTATTGTAGTTCTTGGGGTGTGAGAAAAAAAGACCCCTTTGATTGAGTTCCCACTGATTAGTTTTAACAAGGAAATGAACTTCTTTTTCTTATCCTCAATTCCTCATGCATAATATTCTTTACTATGGTTATATATGGCAAGTAAAAGATATATTTTCTTGCAAACTAGGGAGAAATCAACTAATGCACCACCAATCATCATCAACTGCATCATTGGGAATGGTTATGGTAGCAATGATGGGTGTGTCTTACTACCGTCACAAGTTTCAAATTTAGTTATCATCTTGGTGGTGATGATGGTGGTGATGGGGGCAGTGATGATGCTTAGTTTTGTAATTATCATTTTGGATTTGGCTTAAAAATTTTATTCAAAGAATGATTGGAATTGGCTTAAAGCTTTTATTGGAAGAATAATTTAGTTTGATGTTCTTATTTCCTGTTAAAATTTAGTGGGATTGCATTGATTCCAAAAGGATTTGATTTCTTCTCCGTGCTGGCTACTCTTTTGTTTGGATTTAGAGGTTGCATTTAGTACTTTTCAGCTAATAGGAATATTGGTTTGGCAGGTTTGTCACGAATACTTGTAGACATTTAGGGGAGAAGAAGTCCTATCTCTTTTGGGAGGCGATTAGTTGTCTTGGGTTGTCAGTTCTTACAGATCTCATCAAAGAGGTAAGGAGCTTCATGATCTCATTCGTGATTTTATATTTTGATGCAGTCCTTTACTGATTCTTTCTTGATGCTTGTTTTTTTTATTTAGTGCTTTTAATTAATATGCAAACGTGGATAGAGAAAGCATTTTGCTGAGTAACATAGGAGACAGATTAATCTTATGTTGACCTCTGGCCTTGAGGCCTTTGAAGATAGTTATGATATTTGTAATTTCATTGCCATGTTCTGTTTGTTGTGGAATGAGGCAGTTCTTTTTGTTTCTTGTATAAGAAGGTAGTGTGTGCAATTATGAATAACTTACCTGACAATGTGGGGGCCCTCACTCCTTAGAATACTTACAGAAAGTATGTCCAGAATGATGCTTGATTACTTACAAAAAGTATGTCCAGAATGATGCTTGATCAACTGTCTCCTGAAAATACTTGCAGAAAGTATTTCCAGAATGATGCTTGATTACTTTGGAAAGTATGTCCAGAATGATGCTTGATCAACTGTCTACTGAAAATTATAGACCTTCAAATATTGCTTCCGAGAACACTAGGGGAATACTCAGAGCTATCATAGGGTTGTCAAGTTTTGTGGGAAAGGTCCACTGTTATTAATTAGGATTGCGACAGTGCCCTACAATTCTCTTGTGAACTGATATCTTGCCTAACCCTAATCTCACCCTCCTACTCCTTTAGCAAGTAGCAATAAACTATCAATCCATATCATTTGGAAACACTTTTGAGTGCCCTGGAATACTGTTTCATTTTGTGGCATTTTAACAACACCACAAAGAATCTGGGATGCTTGGTTTGGATGATGTTTATACCTGAATATATATTATATTTACGGGAGTTGTTATTTGCACCCATGTTTCTGAAGTGTAGAATTAAACCTGATTCATGAATCAAACTTTATTGATTCCCATTGGCCTACTGCTTCCAAAGCCTAACTCTGAGTTACTGTGGGAGACATTTTCCTAGGATACCCAATGGGATTCAGCCTCCATTATGTAACCAGACAAGAGAAGTGTCAGAAAATTATTTCTAGATATTCATTGAGCTACTTGTTGATTGAAAAAAGTAGAACATTTATGGAACAACCTGGAATTCGGATAGTGAAAATTACAACAGGTAGATGATGTTTATAATTGATTGGTTTAGTTGAATACTACCTTCAGTCTCTAGAGCTTTATATCTACTTCACCTTCCGCTCACCATTTCCTTTCCTAAGTACCATATGATCAGAGTATTTGATTTCATACAGCCCTGATAAAAGAACTCCTATACTTAGGAAGGCCATGTGGAGTACTGGAAGCTACATTGAGTAAATAAAAGATTTCTGGAATGCAAATTGCATGTGAGATCTTTAAATAATATTGTGGAAAAATCACGCTTCATCTATTTCCATCATCTTGAATTTTGGACATTTCTGCTGTATGTCTTAAGAAAATCCAGGTGCCATCCAGACCCAAACAGGTATTAATTAGATAGTGTAAAAGCTCTAGGAAATCTATGGAAATGTTGGTGTGGAGGACAACATAGCCAATGTTGCAGTTGAGTAGCTCCTCTGTAATGATGAATATTATGGTCATGGAATACCACCCTATATATTGCAGGGCAGGAGCCTTCCCTAGGTGATAGATGGAGTTTCCTTACCTAGAATATTTACTCACATGGGGGAGTGCCCATCTTTATGAGTGTCGAAGATAGATTTTATTGTACATTCTATGTGTACTGTGTAGATATGTCCTGTGTGTTATTTATTGCCTAGTGAAAAGATATATATATAT